GACCGCGGGCCGGGCAAGGGTGAGCTCCCAAGAGGCCCAGGCGAGGCTGCGGGCTGCAGAGGCGGCTGTGGTGGCAGAGACTAAAGCAGCGGGGCGGGATGGACACGGGTGGCCTGGAGGACCCCGCTGAGGGCAAGGGCCGGGCGCCCGGGGTGCGCTCCGGAAAGCAGCAGGCTGCTGGCCGGAGCGTGTGGCGTGTGGCAGGCAGCCCAAGACACGCCTCAGCTGGCGCCTGTCCCGGAGGCGGAAGCGGAGGGCCTGGCCACCAGGGGAGGACGCTGGGGTCGGCCGGTCTCCTGGCGCCGTGTTTAGGTGGCCTGGGGGCTGCGGGGCTTCCGAGGTGGAGTGAGGAAGGGCTTTCTGGGCACCCAGGCAGACGACTGGGCTGGCGGGGAACAGCAGGGGCGGGCTGATGGGGAAGCGCGCGGGAGTCACGGTCTCGGGAGGCGACGAGTGCGCGGCGGGGTGGGGCGGCTGTCCTCAGCGAGCCGCCCGCGCCTGCAGGTCCGCGCTCCAGAGGAGCCTCTTCAGCGCCCTGGTGGTGGCCTGGTTCTCCTCTGCGTGCCACGTGTCCCACACGCTGCGCCCGCTCACCTACGGGGACAAGTCGCTCTCACCAGACGAACTCCGAGCCCTTCGCTGGAAAGCCAGCTGGGACATCCTGATCCGCAAGCACTAGGCCCCGGCGGAGCGCGTCGGCGCCAGGGTCGGACGAGGGGGTCTCTCGGGAGCGTGGTTGACGGCCGGGCCCCTGAGCTGGGCAGACGCGGCCGGCCCGGCAGGGACTCCGCTGGCGCCCGCTGTGGCTTGCTCGGACGGGCGCTCGTGGCCGCCTGGTCGTTCCGGACAGGGAGGAACACGCGCCCCCACGTCCTCGCCTCCTGGGGCCCCTCAGCAGCCGGTGCCGGACCCAGCGACGAGGAGAGCCGAGTGTGGACCCAGGGTGGAGCGAGGGGCCGCTGACCTGACCGCGGCCCGGTCCCTGCCGACGGCGTGGGCCGGGCGTGACTCGGGCCCGATCTTCCCCACGAACACCCGCAGTCTGGGCAGGCTCCAGCCCTGCACTCGGCGAGGCGCGAGGCTCGGAGTCCCCCGCTCCAGCGTCGCACAAGCCGTCGAGTGAGCCTGGCGCGAGGCCTCCGCGGACTTCTGATCCCGACTCTGGCACTGGCACCGGCGCGCGTTTTCCGATCCCACGTGGACTCTGCTGAGGGGCAAGTGCGACATCCTCCGCCTCCGTGGGCAAGGTTCGTGTCAACCACACCCTCCCTGGTCCTGAACTTGTCTTTTGTCACGTAATTAAAGAAGAGACAAACAGGCAGCCATAGTTGGTGTTGTTTATTGATTCTCCCTCCAGAAGGGCCCAAGCTCGAGGAAACTGCTACACGGTTACCAGAAACCAGCCAGAGCCCCCCTCAGACCAGCTCCTGGCCCCCTATGTCGCCGCGGCAAGTTGGACTGGACGGAGAGGCCTGAGCTGCCTGTGGCGTTGGCAGGGGACGCTCTTACAGGGGCTTTCGTGTGGGAGGGAAGATGACAGACACAGGTGCTCGCGTGAGGTGGTGCGCCCTGCCCGACGCCGGGGAGACTCGCTAGGCCCGGGACAGTCAGCACGTGCCTTGGCTAGCGGCACCACGCCCTGGCCGTGGCCAGCTCATGGGGGATGGGCGGCCTGTCCTTTGACGGCACCCTGGGCTCCCGCACCACGGAGGGCGAAGCTCCAGGCAGGGCTGTGCGCGGACACAGGGCCTGGCTGCTGGCTGCCCAGGGTGGTGCGGGCTGCCCAGGGTCCCCGCCTTTGAGGCAGGCAAGGAGGAGAACGTCCATGGCTCCTCACATGAGTGCTTGCGACCAGGCCTGTGACCCATCGGTGGGTCGTGAGATTAGGCTGATGCGTCTCAACCAGCCTTGAGTTAGAAAAAGATAGAAAACACGAGGGCCTGTGACAACAGGGGAACAGGGAGCACAGTCTCACAAAACTTATTTCAGACTGGAAAGCAAATCTCACTGGGTCATACTCAAAAAAGCCACCCGGCTGGCCAGCCTCCAGGCAGTTCCTCAATGTTCCCAGCAGATGTGACCTGTGCCCCTTCCAGAAGCATCGTGGGCTCACTACAGATCCGGTGGCATCTCAGTGACCAGAGGCTGGGAAGCGGAAAGGCTCGGGAGCGCCCACGGGCCTCTCCTCCCGCTGAGCCTGAAGGACGCGCCCTCCTTTCACGCCCAGGAACACGCCCAGAGGGAGCCCTGGGTGCGTCGTCGGGGCAGGTGGGGCCTCCTGGCCATCCCTAGATGCCCCTGCCTGAGCCCCGGGGATGGCACCCCACAGCCCTCAGTGGGGTCTGCTGCTGGACTCCAGGTGTGACCGCTTGCCAGAGGCCAGCACCCCAGGGCAGTCTCCTGGCTCCGAAAAGGTCCTCTTGCAGCTGCGCCCGTTGGGCCCAGCTCGGTGCCACCTGCAGATGTCGCCGTTCAGAATGTCCTGGATGTGCTGCACGATCAGGTTGATGGCGACTAGGGCAGAAGACAGAAGGGCCGCGTCAGCTGTGCCCGCCCTCCCTGGCGGCCGTGAAGCCAGTTTCCTCCCGGGCGCTGTTTCCTCCCGGGTGGCGTTCGCCAGGAGTGACAGCCCAGCCCTGCCTGCTGCAGCCCGCGTCTTCACCTCGGGCGCCTGTCTGGTCAAACAACACAGAAAAGCCTGGCCAGCACAGCACAGTGAGCCTGGCCACCCAGCCTTCCGCCAAGGGCCTGGGTTAAAGCCTGGTGACACCACTTTGCACCAGCAATGGCAACCCCAGCCAGGCAGCTGTCAGGACACTGGCAGAGTGTGTCTAACCCCAAGCCACAGACAACACCGGCAGCTTGTGCATTGGCGTGCTCAGTGATGGCGACACGCCTGGCTCTGTATCGCCTGGCCCTGGGAGCGGGGACAAAAGTCGGCATAGCCCGTCAGGCCGGTTTCTTACCCATGTTGTCAACCCCTCGAGGGATGATCACATCAGCATACTTCTTTGTCTGCAAGGCACAAAGGTGGTTCCCGTAAGGGTTTTTCCTCCAAAGGTGATCTTACGGGGCTCAAAACTAGATGTAACAGGATGGGGCAGCCCTGGGTGGTCCGAGATGCCAGTGTCATCCACAGATGGGGGACAGGGACTCAGGGATCAACCAGGTGTGATGCCATGGCCCACGAGTCAGGGCAGCCAGAAGAAATGGCCATGTCATTGCTCTCGTTCTGTTCCATGAAGACCACCAGGGAGACAGCTGTCTACGGGACAAGCTGAGCGTGGCACTGTCCACAGTGGGTGACACCGTTCCTCTGAAATTATGAACCTTTCCGCAGAACCCTGAGGGAGCAGGCAGGGCAGGCCCAAGCTGTGCAGAATCGTCTGCCGACGGAGATGTCCACAGGCCTGCTCGACCTCTCCGGCCCTCGCGTGTGCAGACGCCGATTCCTAGTGGCTCCCTGTCGGACACTCCGCCAAATAAGGGCAGGGCCACGGGGAGGGACCCCAGCCACATGGCGGAGGACCCCAAGGGGGTGCTGCTGACGGCGACACACCAAATCAGGCTGAGGGCGGAGGGAGGGCACGGTCTGGGCCGCGGGACGGACCTGCAAGCCACATGGCACGGCCGGCGTGTGGGCCTGGGTCAGGGAGGCATGTCACCAGAGGAGCTGTGGAGGCAGACAGGCTGAGTCCTGGGGACAGCTGTGTCTGCGGGCAGTGGGTGCCAGAGGGCCAGGGCTGGCTTTCCCTCTAGGTCTGACCACCCGGGGTGGAGGCCCAGGGCTAGAGGGGCAGGACAGAGGAGCCCAGAGGCAGCAAAGCCAAGAGAGCTGCCCGGGGAGTCCACTGCCAGCGGGATGGGCAAGGGACGTGCTCAGAGACAACACAGAGGCCAGGCTGGCAGGACTGCCCCAGTGGCTAATCATGAAGGGAGAGGAGGCTCAGGATGACGCCGGGGCTCAGGCCTAGCAGTGAGTAGGGATGGCAACTCCCTCTACTTGGAGTCACCAGGTCAGACTTGGTGTAAGCCACCTCTCTACTCTGCCGGATGTCTCTGAATTCAGAGAGAGACCAACTGTTCATTCACTTTTCAAATTATATTCCAGAAACTTCAGAGAACATGAGTGCAAGAAAACTGGCTTCTTCCAATAGCAGTATAATAAAAAATAAGATAGAACTTATTTGTCCTACTTATTATTTTTTTTTTTTGAGTTGGACTCTCATTCTGTCGCCCAGGCTGGAGTGCAGTGGCACGCTCACGGCTACCACAGCCTCGACCTGCTGGGCTCCGGCGATCCTTCCACCTCAGCCTTCCAAGTTGCTGGAACCACAGGCA